AAAATTGTTACACTTACATTAGTAGGTAATTGAAAGCGTTTTGATTTACATTTAGTGTCAGTGAAAAACTCTTTAGAATAGTCAGTATACTAATTTAGTAATTTTATGTGATTGTGTGTCCGGTAGGAGACAGAAGTTCATCGGAATCTCTCAAGGAGCATCTAAACTATCGAGACTCTACCCTCAGCTCACCGTTCGTCAACTATATCAAAGTGAGTGTGTTCAAGATTGATCGTTTCATGGTCTGTCAGAAGTGTGTTTGTATTGAAAGCTGGAATTTAAGCACAGTGAGGATCAGGAGGTTTTACTCCACCCAGGCTAGTTTAGATCAGTTTCATACACATTTTCCAGTCTCGCTTTCTTCTCTCTTTCATTACACTGTTATCCTTTTGCCAGTTAAATGGTGCTATGCAGAAGCCCGATTAAGTTGTTGTTGTTTTTAAAACTAAACTTGGTGAGCACATTATCCTGCCCTGAACTCTGCCGTTAGCAGTTTCTGGTTTAAGACCAGCAGATTTTTGGGGCCAAGTCGACACCACATTTTCTGTTTAAATTGTGTGAAATAGTTCCAGATTGGCACTAGCACTGGCACCAGGGTCCCCCATTGTCCACAACAATATTCAGAAATTACTTTTCCAGTTGTTTGTAACTTAATGGATATGGATTTATAATATTAAATATATATCAGATATATCTGATATATATATCAGGGGCATTTCCTCCGAGGAGGCAAGGGAGGCAGTGTCTCCTCTCCTCAAAAGTGGATGAGAAAATAATTTATATTACAAAAATAAAACAACGCAAATATGACATTAAAAGTCTAAAAGTCACTCGTTTTGTATAAAGTAACACTGTCCATCAGCGACACCCGCAGGTAAAGTTACAGCAGAGGCTTGCCTCCCTTCGGTCCATAGACTTTCTACAGAGACCCTAAAGCGTGCCATGACTTTTCTGGAGGCTCATTGAGATGAATGGGGGGAAAGTCACCTGAGAGGAGGCAATGCCTCCGTTGCGCTATAATTGGATATGATCGGTTACGATTGGATGTGATTGGTTTGTGTCATAAATCCCGCCTCTTGTTTTCGTGCGAGCTCTCGGCCTGAATGAAGAAAATGATGGCGTTATTGACTAATTATAAAGTAAGTAAACAACTCTCCTGCTTAGATATCACTGCTTTGTGTCACATCAAAATGAAACATGAAATAACTTGAAAACGTGATGACTGTGTCAGTTTTTAGTGAGCGTTCAGCTTGATGAAGTGAAAGATGTATCTTCGTGCCTGTGACAAAGTTTACAGGGATTTTATGACGATGACCCGAAAATAAGTTGATTATTAAAAAGAACAGCTGAACATCAGTTCACAAATAAAAAACTGAGTGTCTATTTACAAGTGCAAATAGCCGGTCCTTGTTGGCAGAGGCTATTTACACTAACTCCGCCCATCAATGTGTGATTACAAAGCATTACAAAAGACTACCGTCTAATAACAGCTCCAGTGGCGCATATGGTAAAGTTGTGTTGAAGACTTTTTTGACGCGATCGACCGGGATTCGAATCGCGTTTTGCAGAACTTTTTTTCCCTTCTTTTTCAAATCAGATATCACGTCGTTGTTATTGTTATTATTGCATACTGTTTTATAATGTACTACAATACTGAGGTGCAGATAATTGCCACTATGCAATAATCAATAGCAGAAAACCCTGCTAGGTGTAAATAGAATCTATTTTCCACCATAATTTGCAAATAAATTCTTTAAAAATCCTACAATGTGATTTTCTGGAAATTTTTTTTCTCCTTTTGTCTCTCATAGTTGAGGTATACCTATGATGAAAATTACAGGCCTCTCTCATCTTTTTAAGTGGGAGAACTTGCACAATTGGTGGCTGACTAAATACTTTTTTGCCCCACTGTGTATATATATATATATATATATAGTTACTTAAAATTTGTATCTAATAAAATATTCTAGCTTGGCATAACTACAAACATGTGTATTTGTAAATTGTATAAAAATGCCCATGGAGTTTTATTTATATTTAAATAATTTGGACTTTCCCAGGAAGTCACATGAAATTAAGCTATCTTACTGTATATCCAGGTTCTCCAAGACTGTAGGAATCATGGTTCTTCGGAGACAAAGCATAGTTGTTTTTAGTTGTTTTTGTTTAGTTATTTTAATTCTTATTTTAAGTCATTTAAGTCCTTTTTTGGCCTCATTGAAAACCACTGCTCTAAATGGAAAAGAGGCATGTGAAATGTTCATTAGGGGTTGTGTTTTGCGGGGATTTTTTGTTTTGTTTTGTGTTTTTGCTTTGAAAAATTCATGAGAAATCATCCCTCTTTTCAGAATATTGTGGGAATATCTGATTTGAAACTGGTTAGATCTGTTGTTTGTTTACTTTGTTTGTACTGTTTTTCCTTTTTATTTAATGCTGTTTCCCATTATAGTTGTAATGTCCTAGTTTGAGCCCCAGCTGGAGTATTTTGAACATCTTTTTCTTCTCTTTCCTGCCTTTATCTACCCTATTTCCCTTCATTCCTTTCTTTTCTTGTCATATTTTTCATCTGCCTCTCTTGGCAAAGCACTTTATGTTCCAGTAACTGTTAGGTTATCTGATAACATCTCATTGCATCATTGGATTGGTGCAGACAGTGTTTATTTGTGCATTAGCAGTTCCCTTGTGAAGTAATCCACGTCTAGAGGGACATTGTGCGTATAAGGCGGTGTGTGTGTATTCCCATCTGCGTGTGCGTCACCCTTTCAAACAGGCGGTGGTGAATCTGTTTCATTAAATTCTAGCCAATTAGGCCTTTAGCCTGTTGTCACATGATAGAATTTGCAGCTGAAGTTGATGTTTGTGTGTTTGAAGGGTCGAGGTGCGGATTTCGATGAGCCCCTCAGGATAGAGGAAGACAACAACTGGGCTTCAGAACAAACGTATGTTTATATCAAGATATTTATCATGTGTATCTCTGTGTTTCTGTCTTTCTTCTTTGAATTCTTACGTTCTTTGAATTTGGTCACTAGTTAAATTATATATTCTTATATATTATGTTACTGGGTCCAACAGGTCAAAGGTTAACATGATCAATCAATTAAAGGAAGCTGTGGAGATGCTACAGGATCCTAACAGGTAGGATAACAGTGTTAATGATGTGTGTTATCGCAAAATGTAAACTATATTATTGTCCAGATCTACTAAATGCAACTATAAGACATGAAGATATATTAACACACATTACATTATGGTTTTCTGTAAAGCTGCTTTGAAACAATGTGTGTTGTGAAAAGTACTCTATAAATTAAATTGATTTAACTTGTTTGTGTTTGCATATAGGGTTAACATGAACTCAACTGATCTCTCTGGTATTAAGCTCTACCCTGTGGAAATGGTTACAGTAGATGAGTCGCTCAAGTAAGTTACATCTTCAAAGCTTAAATGTTTTACAGTAAATAAAAAATAGTAGTAGTAGAAATACATTCAAATGCTGCTTTACATGTTACGGTTTTCACCAACACCCCATTCTTGTTTTTGTCTTCCTGCAGTGGCCAAGAGAGTGACGAGGGTCAGGCGACACCTAAGGTAAACCACTGGTACATGTGTCTAAGTTAACATCAGACACATGTACAAGAGGACCTTACTGGTTCCTCTAAGCATCCTGTTCATTTCCCTCTTTATAGTGCCGCTGTAGACTGCAGTGTTTCTCTAGAGTTCCTCTGAGATCAGTGGGCTATTGTTGAAGGGTAGACCAGTTTCGCAGTTTCCCAGGGGGATTGTCTTTCACACACCTTTTAGACTTTTTATGTGATGTCAGTTATGTGACGTCATATTTTACATAATGTTTATTATTTCAAAATGTGCTAGTTTTTCATTCATTCAAGAGCAGCTGCAAAAATCCATTCCCTTCACTTAACTGCTCAAAATTAAAGACAGTAGCCTCTCTGATTACAAAGCACTGTTTGGTTTGAAGTACTTAATCCACAAAAGTTTGGGGTTGATAAGATGTTTTAATGTTTTTTAAAAAAGCATTAAAAATCACCAAGGCTGCATTTAGTTGATAAAAATTACAGTGAAACCATTTAAAATCACTGTTTTTATTTTAATAGATTTTAAAATAGATTTTATTTTTTGTGATGACAAAGCAGAATTTTAATTGTACAAAATTTGACCTTAGTCTTCAGTGTCACGTGATTCTTCTAATGTGTTAGTTTGGTGCTCAAAAATATTTCTTATTATTATCAGTGCTGCTTAATATTTTTGTAAAAATCATGATTCAAGAAAATTCAAGAATCATGAAAAATCTATTTTTTTCAGGATTCTTTGATGAGTAGAAAGTTCAAAAGAACAGCATGTATTTATTAGAAATGTCTTTACTGTCTTTTTTGATCAGTTAAATCCATCCCTGCTGAATAAAAGTATACATTTCTTTAAAAAATATCCTACTGACCCCAAACTTTTGAATGGTGATGTATGTTGTGCCTTCATTGTGCAGTGGTCTGTTGTGGTAGTTTTTGTGTTGTCGTTTGTGTAAGTACTGTAGATGTCTTTGCTGTGTTGTGATGTAATTATTTGGATTATAAGAAAATATTTCTTATTATTAAAACTGTTCTTAAAACTGTAATTAACTGTAATTAGCCATGCTGTGCAGTAGTTCTGGTTAGCCGTGTAGCTTGTGTGTTATAAGTACATCCAGTTAAACTCCTGGGCTGTTTTTACCAGCGTAATGTGTGCTGTGGTTAGTGTCATAGTTTGATGGTCTTAAGAGCCGTGATTATCATTGAAGGCGGCTCCTGGAGAATGCTGGGAGTTCCAGAGGAAGAGACAGTACATTCTAGAACGGGCCCGGCTCGAGGCCCAGCTCGCATGTCAACAGTATGCCCTGCACATGGCACAACAGGTAATCTGACAAACTAGTCCTGCCATTCAGCCTATAGATGCATCCTGGTTGACTGGTGAACACTTGGGCAACGTGTGCAAGTCAAGTGGGGACATTGTTATAAAAAAATGCAGCTGGTCTCTCAGAAATGATTCATCATTTGGCGCAAATGTGTTTGTCATTTGTATGCACATGCAGTGCACTTTGTACCAAATTGCCCAAACAAATGGTTTAGATGTAGCTGCCACGTACGTGCTTTTTGTTTGTGCTGTGGTGATCTCATTCTCGTTGTAGTTGTGCTATTGTAAACGTGCAGCTCATTCCTAGCAGGCCCATGCGGAATCTGCACGCAGAACTCCAAAGAAAACACATTCTGGTTTCCACAGAATTGAAGCCACTGCCATTTACAAGTTCTACATGGCCTCTGCATTTTTGTTCATTAAAATCAATGTTTTTGATTCTCTTGAGTTTATTCATTTGGAAGTGACTGAATTATAAAAAGAGGGTCTTCCATGCCAGAATGTAAGAGAAGATTGCTAAAGTGCTAAATATTTTTTTTGTCTATTGGTTAGCATTGTAGTTTATAGTTGAAGAGAGAGTTTGCCAAAAATATCATTTTCTCATCGCTCATAGCATTCCCTCATGGCTTTCTTTCTTCTGTGGGATATAAAAGTAAACCGTTTGAGAAATGTATTTGGCTAGCAACATTTTACAAAATATCTTCTTTTATGTTCTGCAGAAGAAAGCAAGTCATACATGTTTGGAATAACATGAGGGTGAATGAATGATGACAGAATGTAAACGATCCTATTAACGTTGTTTTAAGGGAAAAGCAAGTTATTACATTTTGATTAAAGATTACAAAGGGAAAAATTTTATTCATTTGGAATAATGTGCACTGGTGAATCGTACGCAATAGCACTAGAATTAAATTTTTGTGCTGTCATCTACCACAAAGAGTACTCCGTTTTGCATTTTACCAATTCATTCTGCATAATTCCACAGATTTTCAACTGGTTTGTAGATTGCATCTGGGCCTTTTTCCACTCAGTATACAGTGTTTGAATTGTGAAAAGCCTGTGTGGTGCTGGATGCATTTGTGTTTATTAAAATTGCAGTCCATGATGTAACTTCCATGACTTCATAAATCACCATTTTAGATTGAATAAAAATTATATGTTTAAAGTTAATGTACTCACGTGGGGATTGAGAATCATGTAATTGTCTTTCTAATCTAATGAAAGGGGAAAAACAAACAAACAGAGACTCGAGAAAGAAAGACAAAGAGTCATATGGAAGTAGAGAACAGTGATGCATTGTTTGACTATGTCTAAAGAGCTGGTCTGTTAACGTCTTACATCATCTCAAGAATCCCACAGACTGTTTTTTTCTTACTCTTAGGATGACGTGATTGGCCAGGAAGGATCTGGTGATTGTTGTGAGAACCAAGTTACCAAGGTAAATCTTTTTGCTGACTCACAGTTTAATGTTACTGTGGCTTTACACCACTGTAACGTTATGCAATGAAATTTTAATTTTTAAAAATGGTTCAGTGCACTTATGCTGAATGTGTTTGTCATGTACCAGAGTGAAGACAAAAACCCAGTTTCCAGCCCCACACTGAGCTCCCCTCCCTTTGGTCTGAAGCCCAGATCAGGTGAGAACCGTGTTGTTTTACTAACACACATGGTGCCAATGTGCTGGTTGGCATTTTGATGGTGAGGTTGGCATGGGTGGTGTTGCACTTTAGAGGATGGTGCACATTTTGGGCTCTCATTATCATCACATTTCAGTAGTAAGAGGGCGGAGGTGTTTGTGTGTAAAGATCCTTTTGCCTGTGGCCAACACCTGTTATCATGTCAAGCTCATAAATCCATACAATATTACAGTCAGGCTTTTTATACATTCATATTGCTGTTTAACATTACTCTCTTGGCTTCAGGGCCTAAACTGCATCTGGATAGGTTTAGAAAAAAGCACATGGTAACTGAATATGTCCTGTGTTTTCTTTTTATTTACACAGAGATTTTATATTTTCACAAAAACCATTCATTATTAATGTATACAGTTAAATAAACACACCAAACAGCTTGCTTCATCTGGATGCTGTTTAATTCATGTAGCTGTTTGTTTAGCTGCCTAGAGGCTTCTTGTTGCTTCCCGCACTAACATCTAAGCTAGCATTTGCATCATTATCTGTGATCTGTTATTTTTGTCTAACATTACCAGCAATATGATGCCCTGAGTCTGAGAGTTAACATAAATAATAGTAATTTGTACCAGGTGCATTAACAGCATGCCAACAAGCTGGTACTGAAATGCTGCTAACATTGAATTTGTTTTTAATATTTTCTCTTTTGTGTTGTGCTGTATTTCCATGTCATTTTGCTTCGCATATCTTCCTGCTTCCTTCTCTTCCCTTTTATTTATCTGTTTCCCTGAACTGCTGCTTGCTTGTCTGCTTTTGTTACACACACTGCTGTTGCTTGGCACCCTCCTATTTTCTGATACCTGAAACTCCTACCTGTTTCCTGTGGTTTTCCAATGAAAATTATTTGTTTGGCTCCTCCTCCTACTGGCACTATGCTCAATGTTAATTCCTACATCTAGCTTCACCCTCTGTGGCATGCTCGACTCCGCCCTGTCCCCTCCCCCTTACACAGGCCCCGCCCACTGATAGAGACACGCCCCCTAGCCCAGCTGAAGGAGACATGCCAAGCAGTGGTAGGTTTGCTCAATGTATTGTCCTGTGCAGTCACATGCATTGCAATTAGTCTCTTTGTGTTTTTTTGTCAAGATGAAATAGTTTTGGGTATTTTTATTCTTCTTATATTATTTTTTATTATTTTATTTTTAGTGGTGGTTGCTAAGCCTTTGAGCCACGATCATAGAGATTTGAATAAACCTTTAATTGTAAATATTAAATATAAAATATGTAACTTATTTTCCACGCTACTGGAACAAGAATAACAAAGACTTTTGGGTGTGGACTTTTTTGACTTGGGCCAGTAAGCAACCACCCTGAGCACCCTAGATACCACATATCAATGCTTTATAACATCCAAAAAAAAAAACTAGCAACTGCTTTGTAACTCCCTACCAGTGGTGTATAAAGTACCTGAAAGCCATACTCAAGTAAAAGTACAGATATCTTACCAGAAAATGACTTTGGTAGAAGTTGAAGTCACTGTTTAGAATATTACTTGAGTAAAAGTCTTAAAGTATGTGATATTTATTGTACTTAAGTACGAAAAGTATTTTTTAAAATCTTAAACATACTTAAGTATTGAAAGTAGAAGTAGAAGTAAATGGAAAAGAAGCAAATAAATATATATAAATAATGTTCATACACGGCTTGAGTAGCAAGATTGTGTTCAGTTTTAACTCTTTCTTCCATTTTGTATTTTTGGGTAAGAATAAGAAGCACTTCATTCGGTACTTAGTGTCTTTCATTCCAACATAAGAAAATATACATGCAATTTAATGCTGGATTTATAACACAAAACAAAACAAGAGACAATCATTAGAAGCCAAAACCATACTTGAAAATAAAATTGTATTAATCACATGGGGAATCCTAGTCAACCACACAAGCTATGCAGACTATTATATATCACAGGCACAATGGTACCAGGAATGCTCTTTGTGCTGCATTTGTGTGCAAGAATGTTATTCTTTTGTTTGAATGACTCCTGGCAGTACTCTAATACCAAATGCAGCTTGTTAAAAGATGAGTAAGACAGTGTTTTTTTATTTATAGGAGAACTCTAGCCTTTTTACTTCACCTTCCATCATTTATTCAACCGATTCATTCAAAAAGCTGATTCATTCAATAAGTAAACACCGTCAATTGCTCAGAGACGCAAAACAGTGCTATGATCTTTGTTTGGAACTGTTTTCGTTAGCAAAATTGAGCAAAACAAGCAATATTATTTCTAAAATGTAAGTCACTTATTGCTTTACTGAACTTGTATAAAATTATTATTAAATGTGTTCATGCTGATATCTGCAGAAAAACTCTTTGTGTGATATAGATTAAGTTAACTATATTCAATTATATAAATATAAAAAGCATACAAAAGCATTTTTGCCGTCTACAATTTTGAGTTTTAATAGACTAATAAATCAACGTGCGTGCACTCTGTGTGTGATTTGGTGTTTACCTAGTAACCTAGACGTTACTTGATAATGTCAGATCGCATTATTACTTTGTTACAATACACCACTGCTCCCTACTGCATAGCAACACTCTGGCACCCACAGTACCCTAGCATGATGGCAGCAGATTTTGCTTGGGCAAGCATTACTCTCATTATCCTTAGGCAATGTAAACGTTTAGTCTGTCCACCTTTTTTTCTTCTTTTAATGCTTTAAAATCAAAATTCAAAAATGACACTTGTTTTTCAAAGATGGCTGAATACTTCAGCCTGCTGACTGACATTTCCTATTTGGATGAGAGAATTTGAATAATTCTGAAAGTTCAGATGTGGAAGAAATTATTTAAGAAATAAGTATGGTTCACTGGCAGCCGGTGAAAATTGAAAAATGAAAGATTTGTCAACATATACTCACCCTCGTGTCATTCCAAACCTGTATGAATTTCTTTCTCTTGCACAAAAATAATATCTTTTGAATAATGTTGACAAACAAATGGTTTTGATGACCATTGACTTCCATTGTATGGACAGAAAAACGCATGAGACATTTCTCAAAATATCTGTCATGTTCCACAGAAGAAGTAAAGTCATACAGGTTCGGAACAACAAGAGGGTGAGTAAAGGATGACAGAATTTGCATCTTTTGGTGAACTGTTTCTTATAGCTTTAGCTTAGTCTTTTAAAACACAGGAGTGAGAGAGGGGATGTGGTTGAGCTGAAATTTGGGGTGGCCCAGTGGCTTTAATTAGAGCTGTGTGTATTTATAGAGCTGCTATTTTGAAGCATTAGATAATGGCCCCAGAGGGAAAATCAGACCTCCATTTAAGTGGAAATGCTTTCAGAGGATGAAAAACTGCCAGGAGACATCTGTACTTACTCATCGTCTTGCGAGAGAGAAAGAGGAAGAGGGAATGATGGAACGAGAGAACAGTTTACTAATGAATAGCTCTGTACTAATGGTAGTATTGAACTCTATTAAAACTTTATTGAACCCATATGGAATCTGGCACCTTTTTATGGGATCTAAACAAATAAATCTGTGAAATGTTTACTACTACACTCTTATTGGTAGATAAAATCATAATCAGATTAGGCAAACATGTACTTTATGAATGCCAATGTGTTCAGATTCTACAGAGGTTTATTTCTGTCCACAAAAAATTTGAGAATTTGTAACTTCCTGTTGGACGTCAGAAATTCTCCTCAGTGTGTTTTTTTTTTCTGTCTGTCTTTAAGTGCACTTTTTGTCAATACATTTCTGGAATACTTGCCGTCTCTTGCACACAACGTAACAGTAAACACTTGAAAGAGTCTTATTTTTGCCAATACAAAGTTGGTTTAGGATGTGTGCTGCTCTTAGTTTAGAGACGTTGAGACAGAAATATGAAATTTCAGAAATAGAAATGTGAGAGAAAGACACTTCGCTTTAAAGCTAAATAGTTTAATTTGTGTCAAGCTTTAAAAAAAATTACTGTTTTCAAACAGCTTTCCCCAACCCTGGTTTGCTATTGGTGAACAAACCGATAGCCTCGCCCCCAAACTCACACCATTGGTTGAGCCAGTGTTGCTATGCTAGGCTGGCAGAAAAAGGAGAAGGTATGGGAACATAAATATTACATACTTTTAAGTAATTAAATGTACCCTAAAACACAGACTTGCCCCAGAAGCATGAGAGGTGACTTTTCAAGAGACTGTTTTTCACCATGATGCAAACACACACACATTTAAGTATCTAAGCTATGAAAGTTAGCTATTTAGACATCTATTGTTTTTATATACTGATAGGTATAAATAATATATTCTAACCCTAACTTTCTTCATTTATACAATTGGGGGAAAAATACTTTGATTTTATAATATTTTTATATTTACCTCACAGATTAACCTCACTTTTGGGTACAAATTTGTACACACAGACACAAATTTTTTTCTAATGCTGCTCAGAGATGTCTAACGTGTGCTTGCTGTTTTACATCAGTGTCCAAGCACAGAAACACTGCTCCGGGGCTTTTAACTGTGAGACAACAAAAAGAGGGAGGAATGTTCTGGAATAACATAATTTTAAAGGGGTCGTATGATGCTTTTTTAAAGATCATTATTTTGTGTATTTGGTGTAACAGAATATGTTGACATGCTTTAATGTTCAAAAAACATAAACAATTTTTTAGAGAGGCCCCGCCTCTCTCAAACGCTTCGTTTTCTACAAAGTCCCTCCTTCCGACAAGCGCAGTCTGCTCTGATTGGCCAGCTGACCCAGTGCATTGTGATTGGCAGAACACCGCATGCACTCGTCAGAAATGTAACACCGCTTACCATAATCACGAGCTTTATCTTTAAAAAATAAATGTAAAGACAGTAAATAATGTCATTAGTTTTACCATCAGTTCAAGCCCGAAAGGGGAACAGACACAGTAATTATGAAGTATACATACC